GCCCCGCCCCGCCCCGTTGCCATCCCTAATTCCGTTTTCTTTGATTCTTATACACACCACAATTCTCACGGCACCACAATTCCATCCGTCTTTTCTTTTTTCCTTCTTCTAAACGTAGAAAATGGATGCAGATTATAAAAGCATAATTCTTATTAATTTTCCATAAACATTCTTTTTGGTTGCTCCATATATTGTTGGTAACTATATAATTGATATACTTTTTTAAAAAATAAATTATTATTCCTTCACAAACATAAACTTAATTTTATTTATTTATTTATTTTTGCAATTGAGAGTCTTCTACCTCCGTTATATCACAGATAAACGAATTTATCAATTTGTTTAATCTTCAGAAGTTTTTATTTGTTTTTAATTCCCCACATATGTTCATACAATTCGACTTGGAGATAATTTCATAATACAAATAGAAAGACACATTTTCAGTTAGAATTGATATGTTTTCTCACCGAATTATGATATTCAGTTTAACGAGAATGGATGTAACTGTTGCCACAACTTCAACTGAATTCTCGAAAAATATTCTTAGTGAACAATAAGTTTTTATTTTTATATTATATTTTTTACATGATCATAATAAATTTAATTTTCTATGTGTGTTTGATGGATATTATTGAGAAAAGAATGTATCTTAAAATAGTGATATGATGGAAAATATGTGGTTAAAAAGTATTGAAAAATTATTGATGTGATGTAAAATATTATTTTATTGAAAAATGTGTTATTGAAAATGAGTTTTGAAATAACGTATTTTGAAAAAAAATGTGTACCAAATAGGGGCTTATCATAATCAATTCTTTTTTTTTTTTAAATGTCAGGAAAATGACGACGAATTTAATATATATGATTATATGCAAAATTTTACCACCGGCCAAGTACGAATAAAGCAAATGTAAAATTAATGTGTACAATTGTAATTATATCTTTTTAATATTGATGGTGTAGGCATTTCATAGTCGAGATTCATTATCTAATTGGGTTTGCACGGTTTGTAAGGAACTTCGTTTGGTTATTGTTATAATACATTCTGAGCGTGGTGGGTGTGGACTCAAGCATCACATACGGTATGAATGTGAGCATAGTGGAAAATATAGAACACGTAAATATTATTCTGATTATGAATCGAAACGAAAGAGATTTGTTGGAACACGCAAGTGTGTGTCCATTTGATCTAAACGGCGTGAAGTTGTCAAACGAGCATGATTGGATGTTAAAAGTATTATGTGGACTACATAATTTACAAAACACGTGCAAGACATATATTGATCAATTTTTACAACACACGTGCAAGGTGGGAAAAACACAAATGCAACCGTTAATGAACAAGTTAAAAGTATACAATAATATTGAGTGTCATAGGTCTAATGAAAAAATAGATGTAGTTAGAGACCTTTTTTTCCACATCCGACATTTGTCAATTTTTTACATGCATTTTCATGTGTACTTGTAATGGATTGTACTTACAAAACCAACAGGTATCGATGCCCTTGTTTTGAGATTGTTGGGGTTACTTCAACCCAGATGACATTTTCTGTTGCTTTCGTGTTCATGGAAGCTGGACAGGGAAGCAAATTATACTTCAGCAGTGGAAGAGTTGAAAACCTTTAATGAATCATGATGTCTTGCCGCAAGTTGTTGTCACGGATGGGGAACTGGCTCTATTTAGGCAGTTGAAAAGATTTTTCCTAAAGTCAAAAATTTATTGTGCACATGGCACATATCGAAAAATGTATCTGTCAATACAAAGAAGTTTTTTGATCGAAAAGAAGAATGTGATACTTTTTGTTGGAGTTGGAGTTTACTTGTTGCATCTACTACGGAAGAGATATATGAACAATTGGTGAAAACTTTATTTTTACAATTTGCACAATTGGATTATGTTTTAGGATCTTGGCTGAGTAAATATAAAGAGAAATTCATTGCAGCTTGGACAAATAAAATTATGCACTTCGGTAATGTTACGACAAACATGTAACTTATATACTGCTTATAAGTAATTGTATTATTAACATTGTTTATTTTTTTGATCTGCAAAAAATTATTATCAATTAATCTGATTATAAATAAAATATATTCATATTGTTCACAAGGTTGAGAGTGCACATTCTATGTAACGTTTGACATTCCTACCATTGCACTCTACACCTCCTCTACAATTTAATAATAAGGTTATATCAATGGGTTTTGTGAATGACAATCACTTTGTACACGCATTTTATTTTAATGTGATTGCCTTTTTTTATTGGTGTAAACTTATTGTTGCTAATTTGATTTATCACTTGCACATGTTAACTTGAAGACCAATTGTCCAATTCCACTTTTGGCCTATAGTTTGTATAGATATAGAGATGACATTGCAAGTGGATGGGTGAGTTCACATAAATTAAGAATTGAAACATTCAAAGAAATGATTGGTATTGATGTTGCTACGAAGGAAATTTTTTTATCTAAACTCTCCATAATTAGCACGAGGATTGACTGGAGTTGCCACTATCACTATGCACCTTGAATTCCCTCTGCAGCTGGGGATAATCATTCGCTAGCCGAACTCCAGTTTAACTAATAGGATACTTGTGAGAAGCATTGGCATATTTGTGGCCTTTATCATTCTCCTTGTCACTACTAGTTTCTCATTCTTTATCATCAGGTCACGTGTAGCCTTTTTTAGCAATGTGTGTTCATGAGAGATTACTATTAAAATTTATTACATTTATTTGCTTGGAAATTTTGTATCAAGGTCAGCCGTGGCCATCTATGGGCCATCCTTGTAATAGTCTGTTGCTACATAAGATTTAATATTGCATTAAAGAACAAAAGCGACTACACAGATCACTCATCCTTCTGGCTGCGCGAACTAGCCAGTCTGTTGGTGACAACATCCTAAAACTGTGCTGCACGCTCGACAATTTCCTTCCTTTTCTTGGTAGAGACATTGTGTGCTATCTCCGCACAGTAAGTACTGATGTTAAACAAATTAAATAGTCAGCGACAATTTAAAAATGCCACAGTATCTTAGAACAGGATAGAAAAATGAAGTGACATGTTGTGCATCATTAAAACCTCCAGTTCTGAGACATTGTGAATAACAAATTTCTTAAATCCATTTGGGGGATAGTGGTGGGTTCTCTTGTCTGAACCGTAACCAATGTTTGGCATAAGGGTGCATCCTTTAAACTTTCTCCTCACACTTGAATCAATACCCTTGGGCCTTCGCCAGTTTGTCTCCACAAGATGCATAAATGAATGACTTAACACCAAAGATCAGCAGGATTAATATGGACAAAAGTTGAGGCATCAACTCACAGTTGAACCAACATCTCAAACATTAGGAATTCAAGGAATATTAGGCAGGTTCAGTAACTACTAGAATGTTAGGAATATAGGAATGTCGAATAGACAAGTCATTCACACTTGAAGGTGGTGACCAACCTGACAAAATCCTATAAATAGACGGTGTTTATGAACTCCTAATAAGCATATGAGATGAATAATAAGCTGAAAATCTTCCAAATTATTTGCATAACATGCCTAACTTGAGAGCGTGAGTCCCATTCGCAATTGCAGCCTCCTATTTGCACATGGCTAAGAAAACTAAGAATCTTCTCATCAATTATGAATATGAAAAATTAAACTTTCTAAATTTTTACCTCAACCATAGTTAAGTAAAGATTTTTACCAAAATTTTTGTATCAAGAACCATAGGTCCATCTGAATAGCTTGAATGCCATTTGCACAACTTAAACCGTTGTCCAAAGCCATAAAGCAAACATTGACCTTTATCTATTGTAGAAGCAGCCAAAAATGAAGGCAAATATTTGAGCATTTCATACTCCAATAAGAAAGCAATGCTCAATCAAGTAGAAATTGAGTAGCTCAAGCTGACAGAAACACCACTGGAACTAAAACTTACTCGTATTTTGAAGCCAAGAGCATAGTTACCAAACCAACAAGCTGTAACTTCTTTCTCTCTACAGTTTGCTTTGCTAAAAATCTGTCTATTAGGTTTACAGTAAGAAACAATGCCTCGTCCCTAAGATCGTAAGTGTGGTATACCTGTGGCAAAAAAGAAAAATCAATCATAAGGTTCACAGAATCAATTTTAGTTTGAAAAGCACAGCAGATTATAAAGATCATTGTGTATTCGATAAGACCTCAAGAAGCCAGTCAATTAGAATAGCCCTCATCCTCTCATATATGTCAAATTGTTGTGCCATTTAGCCCGACGAAACACAGCTACAATTATGCAGAATGAAAAACTTTTTGGTCATTAAAATGAGGATGAAATTTCGAAATTATATAGTCCAATTAAACATCAAATTTTGAAAATGGATAAAATTTCTATTTAGGTAAAATTTTGGTTGATCGTCAAGCGTCACATTAGAAATCCATCCCCCACATCAATAATAGGTTAATGGATTTTTTTAGAGTGATGGATGTAGTGCAAACAAAAAATCTTTTGTAAATTGAAGCATTTTGAAGTTGAGTGAACATCCCGTGACTATAGTATAAAATTGAGTGGGTTTTGAAACATTTTTACTGTACCAAGCAAAAAGGTTAATCTTTCAATTTGCAATTAAGTTCTTTTTTTTTTTTTTCCCGCAATGCTGCCAATGCAGTTGTCTCTACGAAATTGTTGACTTGGGTCCACATGGATCCCTCAACATTTTGATTCGAGTTAGAGCGTTCTAAAGTAGTTCGATAAAGGTTCCAGTCATCTAAAAAAGTAAAATTTTGATCAAAGGCTTTAAGGCCACAAATAATTTTTTTTTTTATCTATTTAATCATATAGATTTACAATAACCTAAAGATAAAATTATTCTCATATGAAAGTTTTAAATTATTTAGACCCACGTGCAGAATTACATAATTAAAGTAACAAGTCACTTTTTAATTGTTTTTAAATGATTAGATCTAACAAGTCAATTTATCTTAAATTTGAATACTACAATCAATAATTAAAGAAGTAAAGAACACCAAAGATGATCATGGAGAAATTTCAACCGAGTAAAAACTCTGGGCACTTTGTCAGTTAATAATCCACTATAAATCGAAGCAAACTTATAGTACGGTCCAGGCTCGTCTACCTCGTAAAACTTATAACCTCAATTCCTAGAGTCTCCTTTGATCCTTTTTTAGGTGTGCTCCTTCAAAACAAATCTCGACTCCTAATTTATACCCTAACCCTCCTAGACTACGTGATCCCGACGCCAGATCCTGACCCCTGGTACCTCACCTTAGTCCCCCTGAATTTGTGCTCTGCAACAGCTCCCAATTTCTGGTATCGATTTATCTCATGTGAATTAAATGGTTTGGTATTTGATCAAAAGATCTTGCATGTTTTGATATGTGGTTTAATATGAAATAATATGGCTAAATCAACAAATCAAAGTTTGGATAAAATTATAGATTAAATAATATGGTGATTGAATATTTGAATCAATGAATGTATTTTGGATTTTCAAATGAATGATCTCTATGGAAAATATGATTCAACACACTTTTGGACATTCATATGGTAGGATATATAGGGAAAAGTGTTTGGGATGAAAATGTATTAAAAAACCAAGTGTTTGAAGCAAAACAAAATTCTGAACGTCGACATTTTGCTCAAGCGCCAAGCCAGCGACATGCGAGCAGCAGATGAACAATCGTCAGTATTTTTATCATAACTTTCTCTTTCGATATCCGATTGAGGTGATTCAAAATGCGTCAGAAAGCCAACTCAAATGGTTACAATTATTCTAGAAATAGCCTTATCCAAATTCCAATGTTTTCTATGTAAAAAATGCGTTGCAAATTGCGATTGGAAATTTGGAGCATAACTTGTACGACTCTTTGGACTTCTAAATGCATTCCAATTATCATATGTGATAATTTTGAACTCCTTCAAGAACTATACTACCAACCCAACTCTCTTTACTTTAATTAAGATTCTATAACTCTTATTTTAACTTTGATTATAACTGAATAATCTCCTAATAGAATTCAATTAGAACTTGATTTTGACTAAAAAAAATTGTTAATTATAAATTTACAAATTGTTAATTATAATTTCGACTTAACATAATCAAATTACTAATTATAAATAGAATATAGAAGAAAACAAACGTTTAACGTTTTCACTTAAAATCCTATATAAATAACAAAAATCCTTCCATTCAAAACATTAATGTCTAGATCCTAGAACTCCAAATACCCAAAAAATCCCATCCACAAAACCATGTTCAAATTAATCCTTGTATTCCTTGCTTTGATTCTTTCACCGTGCCCAATTCATTGCCGGAAGCCCCACGTCATCAACCTCCGGTGGCCAGATCTCTACCCGGCGTCCTTCACGTGGGACCAAAAGTCGGAGCACTTTATTGTCGGGTCCCACCGCCAGAAACAGCTCCTCTCAATCTCAGATGCCGGCGTTGCAGCTTCCCTTCTTTCCGACGATTCCCTTCCTGAAAACTCCTCCTTCATTGGCCTCGCCCTAGACCGTCTTCACCACCGCCTCCTCGCCGTTGTTCATCGCCCCGCCACTCCACCCACCCCATCCTTCAGCGCCCTCGCCTCCTACCATCTCACCACCTTCAATCAACTCTTCCTCGCCCAACTTCCAAACTCCACCGTTCCAAACGACGTCGCAATCGATTTCTTTGGGAACGCTTACGTCACTGACTCGGCCAACGAAATCGTCTTCAAAGTTAACATTGACGGTGAGACCTCGATTCTGTCAAGATCTCAGGCATATCGCAATTCCGGGTTAAACGGCGTGGTTTACAACTCGAAGGGTTATCTGCTAGTGGTGCAGTCAAACACAGGCAAATTATACAAAGTCAACGTTGACGACGGGACGGCAAGGACCGTCATTCTAAACAAAGACTTAACGGAGGTTGAGGGAATTGCCGTTAGAAGTGACGGTATTGTGGTGGCAGTATCAAAATATAAACTCTATTTTATCAAGAGCCACGATAGTTGGAGCGAAGGAGTAGTATTTGACGAAACTACCCTTGATGAGGAGAGGCATGCCAGTGCCGTGGCAGTCGGAGCTGAGGACAGGGTGTATGTGTTATATGGGCATGTGAAGGAGGGCATAACGGGAAAAGCAGAAAGAGTGGAATTTAGTATAGTAGAAGTGGAATCAGAAAAGGAGAGTAAAGAAGAGAATGTTTGGATATTTGTTTTGGTTGGTTTGGGATTTGCTTATTTTTTGTTTTGGAGATTTCAAATGAGGCAGCTCGTGCAGAATATGGACAAGAAAAATGCATGAAAATTTTCTTTTCTACTTTTTTCATATATATTGTGATTTTTCGGCGAGTTTTTTTTTCGTTATAGATATCGATTAGTGATATGATGGTGAAGCCTTTTTGGATAACTTTATTTGATTATGTTGATAATATTTATCTTTTTAATGCTTATCTTCAATCCCCTTAGGAATGTATGATTGATGAATCATAAAGAGTTAATCAACGAAGATTGTTAGATATTTCGATTAATTTTACATAGTTTGTCTGTTTATTGTAATCATGTTGTAGTGCATTTGAAGGATTTTGTGGACATCGAAGCACTAGAAAAAACAAAAACAACATGACAAATTGTGTTGTGTACATGTCTCATCTTATAACCATGTAAGATTGCACGAGTGTCATAGGTTGTATCATTCAAAGTCTAGGACGAGTAGTATCTCTTTTGATGTAAAAACACTTTTTTTAAAATTTTTATCTCTTACCAAATGATCGTGTTAGTATGAGTAGTAGTCACATGGAAGTAAATTATATATTTCTACTTTCCAACATAAAACATTTTCTTAAATGAATCAAATTTGTAAATATCAAATTATTATGTAAATGGGCGAATAGGAGTGTGTCGCCTCCACTATCTTCACTTTCGAGGTATTGAGGAACATTCCATCACTTCATCACAAACGCCTCCAAGGTGACATAATGTACTGTAGAGCGTTACCTCTTGGCTCCGAGGTGTTAGGCAAATTGTTGTCAAACGACTTCCCCCGGGCAATGATGAAATACGCTGTATTTATTCAGTCGGTATTGTCCAAATGACTGAAAGTTAATCGAACACCACAATTGGTAAACCAACCCTAAACCGACCCAAACTTGGATGTCCCACCTATTTTCTACTTGGGCCTTAGCTTGTCTTTTGGGCCTAACCTAGTTCTATATGAATGCTATACCCGTTTCTATTCTTGCTTGTGAGAGAACTTGTGCCTTGGAGAGAAACTGTGACCTTGCTGTGTGCTTCCTTCGTTCCTTTTCTCTCCTTTTGTCTTTGTGGCTAGCTTGTGGTTACAAAACTCTCTTCACCATTCTACAAACCTGTGTGGGCAGTAGAGAACTAGGTGGAGCAACCGTTTGGAGGCTTGGTGTTTTGGGTTTTCTCTTGGTGGTGTTCGATTAAGGTATTCTGAGCCCGATTTCTAGGTGAAAATCTGGTGGTTTAACATTACACGAGGCATGAGAGAATGCAATCCTTACTGTGTCAAATGAGTATGATATCCAAGGCAATTGTAGTCCATTCTAGGATGCCTCATGCAAGTTCCACTCTGGCAATTTGTAGCCACAAGAGAAGCAATTGATGTGCCATTTTATTGTAGTAGCAACTAGCAACTGGAAGTCGAGTCTTTCCGTTTCCCTCTAGGACAGTGTACTAAAGTCATAGACTAATGATGCCTAGGATGCCACATGAGTAATGCCCTGGGCATTACTTCACAGCCCCTCACAAAGGGTGGGAGCACCCTATTTTTTTAAAATACTTGTGGGGCCCGCTCCTTTGTGAGGGGCCTGTAAGACCCCCTGTGAAAGGCATTAGTCGATGCCGCAATGGCATCACTGAATTTGACTAGTGAGTCATTGAAATGAAATCGTTTGTCAAACATTCAAAAATTCTCAATTTATATTCACAACCTATAAATACTCACAGATTTGGTAAAGACAATTCACATTTATTGGTATTCCCATTTTTCTTCTCCAGTCATGTTACTTCTGTACCTAATCACTTTTTCATTGAGTGACTTGAGCCCTGGAGCATGTATGATTACGGGATAATGATGATTGAACATGCTCAAGACAGAGAAATGATGGATAGACTAACTCGACAACACCTATTTTTTTTCCACGCTATTCAATCATGTGTCGACACGTGTCACCCATGTAGTTTCTGAACCTGTTTGTGTAGCATGATTGATGAATACGCTCCCCTGCCCTTTGTGTTCAGAAGGTTTTGATTTTGCACCTCTAATGCGTACCTTCCAAGTACACAGGTAACTTACAAGGGATGAGATAGGAGGTAGAATCTTTCTGTAGCGACCGAGAACTTTTGAATAATATAAAATTAATTCTCGAAAAACGTTTCGCTCGACTTTAACCCTAATTTTTAAGAAATAGCACGTTCGTCTAGCCGTTATAAATGAATT